ATTCTTTGTGGAGCATTTTTGGAGTGTCAAAAAAAGGTTAAGAACCAGCCTTGGCTGCATTTATAGTAATAAGGCACTTTTCAGAGGTCTTTCAATGTTATAAACCCTTTGCCTTTTGGACTGCAAAGCATAATTAGATCAACTCTGACCATCTAAGTGTAAATCACCCTCCTTTGCCATTATGTCTGGTAATATTTAATCACGCTACAGAGCAATGAAAGCAGAGGATTCTTACACTGGATGTTGGGTGCCAGTCTTGCTTATTGTTGCAGACAGATGGGAGAGAGTTGCAGTAGAATGGATGCGCTGGGTACGTTGTAATGCTTTGACAAGTCTCAGGTGTATCTAAGCATACACTGGTGATTTAGCACTTCTCTGGCAACCAGGTGTTCATTTCACTAACAATGGAGTAGCGACGTCATGGCTCCACGGCCTGTGCGCGCTCTCTACACAAATTAGACCAAAAAACAAGAGCCCAGCCAGTGCATGGACTTGTAAATACTCTTTTTATTTAAGGGATCCTATTTGTCAGGCTAATCACAGGTGTCTTTTGTTGGGGAAATGGAGGATGGGATGATGGATGGTTGTGAGGAAAGGTGAAAGTAGTCCACTAGAGGGTTGTTGTTTATTCATGGGTTCAGATTTGATTGGGAGTTTCTAAAAGATAGCGGTTAGTAGATACAGGCCATAGTATTGTGTGATGTTACAAAGACAATGCAAAGGCTGTGTGCAGTGATTTATTTGGAAACAAGTGACACAGATAAAATACTCCATATCAGTTAAACACATGTGACTTTAGAGGGTCCATAGTGACAAAACAAAGGGCAAACCCAAGAATAGGCTGTTTAAAATTCACATCTTGTGGAGAAGGTACCTGAGGCCAGACCTGATCAATATTCAATGATCAGTCACAATTTTCAATTCAATTTTATTTTGTCTTATTAAAGAAGAATGGCTCTTTTACAGTTCTTGAAGATAAAGATAAACGATAATAATTTTCAAACCACATTTTACAAATAATTTGCAATGATTTACTTTGTACAAAGTCAATGTAAATAAGTGCATTACTTTGTTGAACTGCTCCAATTGAGTATTTTCTTTTTCAGTCCAGTGTAGATACAGCCTAATAGAGGTTTGTCTGTCATGTCTTAGCTAAGCTTTCAGTAAATGTACAAAGTATACTAATTAGAATCACTAGACATCAAAATTAAGTAAACATGAAAAATATGCTAAATGAAAACGAAAGAGGCTGAATGAGGATACAAAGTTCCCAAACAGACACCTCTAGTTAAATCGGAGTGGTGATGGATGACATAACACCAAGTTAATGCAGCCCAGAAGAGAGTCCTAATGGAACAGCCTGCCACTACATAGTATTTGTAAAACAACTCATCCCTATTGGTCATCTTTATGCCAATGACTCCACAGGGGGGACGATAACAACTCTGTAATGCCAAGGTTGATATAATTGTACCGGCGGCTCTGAGTAATTCACAGCGATTGTGTGCACATTGTCACGAGTCAGATAATGGGAAACTTAAGTAGAAATGTGAAGTGTTGCCAGACAATAGAGCCATATTTATCAGAGATGTTTGTGCAAGCAGCTTTCTGTAATAACTCTTGACTTTGTTGGGGTGCCGCAGAGGAGTCAAAGGACCAAAGTGAATCCCTAATCAAATATTGACCAAAGAAAAGTCTGACAATAAAAAGGAACTCTATACTAAGTACTATAGCTGAGCTGAGTCTGCTGAAACAGTGCCTCATGAGGGAATAAGAGAGTGGGATTTTCTGTCAGTAGGATGCCAAAAATCTTAGTGCATGTTTGTCTCAGTTAGTCTTAACATGAAAACAGTTTTGTGTTAAAAAAAAAAAATAATAAATTTTTATTTACATTAACATGGGCTTTAGAAAATATTGTAATATGGACTTGTGGTGGAATTATTGTTCATTACTGAAAATGAGCAAGCTAGTGAAATGAATTAAATTAGTTAGGAAATGCACCTGCATAACAAATGTTAAACCTGTGAGCAAAACAATAAACACAAGGTAGATGACTGCTTTGATAACACTGGAAAGGAACGCAGCAATGATTATGGTGCATTCGCAATCACCACATTTTGGTCTCAGTCAAACTTGGCCTATAGATCAGGACTAACTAGGCTCCAACCAGGTCAACTGACTCGCAACCTCTTTGTTTAGTTTGCATATCCATTCTGTCTTCCTCTTACAGTGCACGTAGAAATCAGCCAATTTCATGTAGCTACAGTATTTATATGACATGATTTTTTTGTTGTGATAAACAATAAAAAAATATATACTTCAGAAAACACTCAAATCTGTCACCATCTTCTCTATCATATTTCTACATTTACTCTGTAGGCAAATATTTTCTGCATTTGACCCATCCAGGAGCAATGGTTGACAAGGACCCATCTACTGATGTTGACCAAGGATCTTGTGAGGATTAGCAGAAAGATTTAACTGCTAACTGTTTGGGGTTTATGGGGAAAACTAGAGGAAGCATAAGGGTGCACAAACATAAGGGTGTAAATTACACACAGAAGTTGATGGGCCTCCTTCTTGCTGTGAGGCAGGAGTGCTAATCACACTGTGCCATTGTAATCAGCAGAAAACTATCATTTCCAGTCACCTTAACACCTAATTAGAGGATGACTCAGTAAGTGGCTACTTAAACAGACAGCCACTTAATTAATTGGAACTGTATCACAAGTACTGTAAAAAATAAATCTTCACTTGAATTGTCGCAATGACCTCACCTCCATTACTTAAAGGTTGCATAATATTGTTATTGTCACCTTTTCTATTCTCACAGTGGTGACAGCACGTTACTGAACTGTTTCACATAACTACATCAACAGTCTTATTTACTGTAGGAGTTTAAAAGTGTGAGTATGTATCTATATGGTCTATGAGTAATGTTAGAAAGGTTTTGAAATGAAAAGGTACTGAAACCGTGTTCCTTCGTTTGAAATAGTCTCATTCATCTTGGACCACTAAAAGAAAATGGAAATCAGAAAAATAACTGGCAAAACTTCCCTCTCAGCTCTGGCTAGGCTTGATATAAAGCTGGTGAAAACATCTTGAACAGAGTGTACTGCGAAAAGAGAAGAGGTCGAGATAAGAGGGGACAAATAAAGGAGAAGAAACCAGGCAGCCGAAGAGGAAAACATCATAATTATTCACTTTGTGCTACATCAATATGTTCCTGTCTATCATAAGTCTTTAATGCTAAAACAGATACAACTCAGCCCAGGCAAAGTGAGTATTGATCTTCAGTCAATAGTTTTTCTTGGTGAATGCTTTGGTCGGCAGCTTACGGCACGCTTTGAGTTCATAATCAGCCTTGGCTCAAAAACACAATAAGAAACAGTTTATATATACACAATACAGGAAACATTTAGTATCAGATTTCTGAGTTGTCAAGTCGGTTGTAAAGTTTATTGAAGTTGTGTGAAATAAAACTTCAAATTGCTCGTCAGTAATGATGACATAAGATACTTTACACTAGAGGGAGACAGAGACCCTTCATGAGTAAGCAGGACATTGTGAAGGCTGTGGGGGAGTACATGATTAATGATTTAAGGTATAAAAAGATGTCAGGATGAAAAATAGGTGCACTGTCTGACTCTGCCTGTATGTGCTCTAGAAAACAGATTATACAAACTTTAGGGCTTTTAATATGATCCTGAACATCTAGATCCACTTCTGTCAAATATCACTAGGACTGCCCTGAAAGCCAAACGATGTCTGCATTTGTTGAAATTCCCAGATGGGATCATAGTAGACTGTGATGTGAATGGTTAGCACCTATAGTGGGGCCTGCTGCTTTCTCTGCTGGTGGTACAATTGAAATGTATATTAGCAGAATGTGGGACATATTACTAGGTTGTATCCTTAGGGAAGCACATTGTTATAGTGGAAAGAGGAAGATGGAGGGAGTAGGGGGGTGTAGTCAGTGTGGATAGGGGCTCTGGCCATGAATCACAAAAAGTATAATGCCATATTGTCGCAGAGTTTATAGGATGTGTCATGCAATCAATAACCAATTTATACAAGGTGATGGATGGATAAAGGGTTTCTCATTACATAACCTCAGTGCCCTTAAATATAGCACATGACCTTGGTGTGGCTAACATGGGCCTATATTTTGTTAAATCTGATAAAACCCATTTGAACTTAAATGTGTTGGTAATATCTTAGCCAGGCAATCTGCCGTGCTACAGGCATGCCTCGGTTGCTATAACAACAGCTGCTGCTATATCTGTCACTGCTGTGGGTCACAGCTAGCTAAAAGAGCAGCATCACATCTCACTAACTGCCACTCTCTCGCTTCCTCCCTTTCTCTCATTCCCCATCACCCGAGCCAGCCCCTGTATCTTTCAGCCTCATCACCCTCCATCTCCTCCCACTATCCTAACTCTAATAGCTCCATCTATGCTCAGAACGGCACATATTAGAAACATATTCAATATGCAATAACTATGTTTAATGTGCTTGAGGTAATATGACAATTGAATGCTCTTAGGCATTATAAACTGTAAACATGAAAACAAATTCTTTTTGGTTCCATAACTGAACCAACTATTGTTAATCATGTTCACTGAATACATTAGTTTATTTATAACAAATAAATGGTATTCAAAGTTGGGCATTAAAAAGAAGTTTTTAGAAATAAGACTTTCCTATGGTGGCTGTTTGTTAAACTGAGCAGGCACCTCTCTGATTCCTTGTTGTTGTCCACTGTTTCCTTGTTTTGCAGATAATAACGCACCAAAGAAAAGCTATTGATATCAATCCAGCTTGAGATCGATAGTGTATTTTCTCGCTACATCCTGGCAACATCTGAAAAGTGGTCTTGGTTTAATGCCGTGCACTGGTGGTTACCAAGTATTGTGTTTTCACTGAAGACAAGAGACCTAACTTGGAATGCAGTTTGTTTAATAGGTTTATACAAGCTCACTCGCACAGGGTACAACAATAAACAATAGCAGGATCCTTTTCTAGAGTGGGTACCATAAACAGTGGTAGGCACATACTTAGAAGTAGCAAAAGCTTCAGGAAAGTGGTAAGAGAAATACACTGATTGTCATCAACTTGGTTTTAAGTGTTATAGTTATACTGTAATTGATGGAAAAATGCGCATCCATACAGTAAAAAGCTATCTAACTCATTATTCTTACAAAGACGTATAAAAAGAAAACATTTACCAAAAATAACACATATAAAATGTAAGAGTATATAAAGGAGCAGCAGTCAAGCAGAACAGCCTTGACTGCACTACACAGTTGACCTCAGATCATTTCCATTATGATATTCAGCAGGTTGTACTTATTGAGGCACACTAAGGAAATGTACTAAGCACTGGCGGATCTGAAAAGTTAACTTGGCTAGAGCTATTCTGATATGAAATGCATTACACTGACAGTTCTCCCACTTAAGCTGGAGGTATTGGAGAAAGCACTTGATTTCAAATTCTTGGCATGAAGGTAAAAGTTAAAGGATGAGAAGGAGAGAAATGGAGTACTTGGACATGTCTGACTGGCTCTTCACAAGACGTGCGCACACAGGGGAGGATGGCTGGCAGGGCTCAAACCACTCAGGGTGGAAATGAAAGCCTCGCTGGGGTGATGATGAGGCCATGTGAGCTCTGACTTTTATATCACATCAGCACTCCGACTGGTCAGTACCTACGGAAGAAGACAGCAGGTAAATTATATTTGAAAGTGTGTGCTTGCTGTTACTGTGATTGTGAAAACTATGCTGGCATTTATATATTGATTAGTTGTTGTTCATTTGTCAAATCTCACAAGCATACATTGAAGTATATCAGATGTAAAATAAAACTATGGATGTTATGCCTTGCTGTTTTAATAGACAGGAACACATCAAAGATTGTTGTAAATTGAGATACTGAGAAATTGAGAAACATGGCAATGTGACATGAGTGTCCTGGGAAAGGTTTATGACAGTCCTGAGACCTGCACAGGTACATAGGGTGGCTATGGCATATTCCTATGGGGAATTCTTACTGCCATACGGATATCACTCCCTAGTTACAATGGGACAAACAAGGCATTTTTAGATGATGAAAGGGTAAAAAAAAAAAACTTGATAAAACAAGCTATATCAGTTATTAATAGCTCAAAATCAGCCAGCAGCATCAGCAAGACAGATAAACCATATCGGCCATAATCACTAATGCAATATACATACATATACTTTTTCTTACATATGTTGAGATGCTCTTGTAGTACATGTACTTAATATGAGTCTATCACATGTTTGAAATATGCTATATCACACATGAACATGTATTTTGTGGAGGTTTGGCTTCATGAAGGTCTTTGCAGGACATGAAAGAGGACAGAAGGATGCAGAAGCAACAATGGTACAAGTATCTACACAGTGATTGAAGGGACAAAAGAGTGGGTGAACTTCACTTATGGGATAGTAATGGGAGAGACTGAAGTCAAATACCAGGTTTACTCTGTAACAGGAGCGGCTGTAGTGTCTTTCTGCTCAGATGGAATGGCTAGGTAGTTTGTCCTGAGAAGAAACAGAGGAATGGCTAAGAGCCATGGGGAGGTGCCCTCTACCACCCGCCACAAACCAACGCTTTAATTCTAATGAATGACTGCATGTGACCTTTGTGAAAAACTATTTCTCTGTGATTTATGGGGTCTCTATGTACAGCTCCAAACAGGATGAATATAAAACCGTCAGACTAATGTGACTGGAGGGGAGTGACAGGCCACCCATCAAACTGACAGCTTTATACTGTGTTTAATAGCAAATGTCATATTTTTTAAAAGCCACCATACCTGAATTACACCCTGCAAGTTTCAAAAAATGTCTATTTGCATGAATTTGTGACTGATTGCAGAATTTAAGAATAACCTCATGTCAGCCATCTGCTTGTCTCCACTGAGATATTTTTGCTTTGCCTGGAATGTTCCACGGTATGACATTAAATGGATTTGTATATATGAGACGATCAGGTGACTCTTATTTTTGATCAATAAAAAACTGCAATTGAATAAATGCAATACAGGCACATTTTATGTCATGCTGTGGAACAGGGACAAAGCAATAAAAAGCAAGTAATCCTTACACCAACAAAAAAACAGCTTTTCTTGGTTTGAACAACACAAATAGTGGATATAATCCATTAATGCCCTAATGCCCACTAATGCCCCTCTTCTTCATATCCAATAGAAATCCAACCACTGTGCTGCCTATGCAAATTAAAGCTTTGTTAATAATGGATTAAGTTAATAATGGGCCTAGTGGTTGCTACAAGCCATTACCTCTTTCAGACTCAGTGAAAAATGGAATGGGAGTTACATTGTCTTTAGTCCACATAGGATCACCTGATTCTTAACTTAATGTGCACTCTTGAACAGATCAATAACCATTACGTTAGCACTGCCCACAGAATGGGCTAAAAAGGGCCAAGAATATGGTACTTAATAGACTGGCGGGTCAGGTTGATTTACAGTTTTAATTATCCACCAAATGTAGCTGTTTATTCTCTCCAATTACAGGTAATCTGCACCTGAATGTGTGCCACCTAATGATTTATTTAATCTCTTAGGGTTTCAAAATAGAAAAATTATCATAACCTCATAAGTTTTATTTTTGATTTTACAGTGTACATTACAAATAAACATGGGCAGTGAATTTTTAATATTTATTTTAACTTTTAATTTCCTAATTTTCAAGTCTAAATGTCATACCAATCTACTACAATACAAAACATTACAAAACAAAGTACAACTGTAGACAATTACTATGTGCACACAGAGAGTACATCATTTGCCTGACTATATTGCATTGAGTAATTACAGGAAATGGCTCTTTCTTTTCAGATACAGCTTGTTTTCTATAATTACCTGGGATAAATTGCCCATTTTCAAAGTGTCAAATTGGATTGACTAGAACAGTGAATTATGCTATTATCATTCGTGTGGAAGCTGACAGTTCAGGTCTCTTTGGGTCTTTCATTAACAGCAAAAGCCTTAAAAACTGAGTCGGCCTATGGAGCATGGGTGTAGAAAGTAGTGGGCAGTGTTCAGCGTTATACAGGGCTGTCTCCTTGTCTAAGTGAAAAGAAAGATTACTGTTGCAGAGAATTACCAAACCACACAGTGTAAACTCAATTACCTCTGTGTCAACTCATCTACTGTTTGACTTCTTTCATTTCTGTCACTCAGTCTGCTGCTGAATCTATTTCTAACTTTTAAATAATACGGTACAGTGCTAAAGTGTGTGAGAAAAATGCTGCTAATTGGGAATGCTTTAAATAAGACAGAATTTCCAAACACTGTTTACCCTAAAATGGAATAAAAAAAAAACCATTTACACTTTTTGGTATTACATTTGGTCCTTTTGGCTCCTGGCTGTAAATCATGTTGAAGTTACTAAAGAAAGATGTGTATCAAAACAAGTTGGGAAGCAATAACTTTCACAGGGGCTTATCTGCAGTGTGGCTGTCAGTGAGTTAGTGCATTTATCTGGTGCAACACTCACGCTGTGTCCTGTGCCAGCTCATCAGACTTGGAGATCTTCCGGTAACAGTAGACCATCTCCACCAGCAGCCAGAAGGTCAGAAACACCAACAGCACATACATCATGATCTCTGAATAGAGGGCGGTGGGGTCTTCACTGGCTGCCGGGCACAGCACAACACAACAGTAGAAAAACATATATTACTTAGCGCACATCTCTGCCATCATCACTCCGTAGAGTAGAAATTATTAATTCAAAAGTTAGCCTAAGCATGTGCTGACTCACGGCTGTCAGTCTGTCGGGCTTATAATAAATGTGGTTGAACATTTCAATACACCTTGGCAAATGCATTTTTTCACATTTTATACTTATAGTGAAACATTTTTTTTTTCTGCATGGCTTTCTTATGCCACTAGCACTGTTTCTCTTTCCTTAAATTCATGTTGAGTCACTGTTAAGTTGACAAGGTGTTTTTCATTGTCTCCAAATCATGGCCATTTGAAATGGACAAGAATAAACTTCCAATAATTTCGTGTTTGCTGGCTCTGGGTCATTTAGAGGCTTACCAAGCATCTGTGTTCATGCTATAGGTTCATGGTATTGAAACTCAAATCCACAGAGTTCTTCTTCTCATTATTTCACCAGCCTAGGGATGCACTGATCCAGCCTATTCTGTTCCAATACCGATGTCGATACTGTGCACACCAGCATTGTCCAGTAAATCATCTTTTCAAGTTATATACCAAATTGGAATATATATCTTAGAACCAATATCTGATCCATCAAAATGATCCGATACCGGTATTGTATTGGTGCTTCCCTGCACCAGCCCTATGTTGTTAAATGAAGTGAAGTAGCCCAAGAGTTGGGCTTGGAGCTGGAGTTCTGAAGTTTATTTACCATGAGCATGAGACCTGGAGACATCCCTCCAGACACTGTGATAGTATTGTTCATTAAAGCTGGATATGCTTCTGTTCTAATACCTCTGATGACATAGGCCATGATAAGAAACACTGAGCTGGCATTAAGTGACCTTGGTACAGCACAGCAGTGCTATTTCTCTATCAGCCTAAAGCAGCACAACTAAAAACTTGCCATATTATATGGATACGGCCAGTGCACAACCTCATTCAGTTTTATACTCCCTACATAATTATATTCCACTGTGACTTGCTTTAAGAAAAGCTTTGACAATGTAGTCCTTTAGAGATTCTATAAACTTATGGGCCTCAAACCAAACACGCTTCCCCTGTTCTTTGAATAAATGGAGAACAGATTGGGATTCATAACATTGTGATATAGTCACTTGGAAAAAAAAATGTCCATGCCTCTCAAGGACAAACTGTAGTTACACAGACCAAGAATTTAAACAATAAGGTTTTGCCAAGGTGTATGCGTCATTGTATTTTTAGAACTTTTACTCTTGTTTGCAAGTGAAAATGCAGAAGTGATTCATTCTAAGCCATTACAAGTAATATGATGATAGTTTAAAAGGGTTGCAGATATAAATGAATATGTAAAGTGGTTGCCAGGGCTTTGAGTGGTAAAAACATTCATGTGAGCATCTTCAACATGTGATAGAAAAAAAAACACAAAAAAAAAACAATGAATTTGACATCATGAGCCACTGTAAACCACTGTTTCAATATGCATGTACCAAATCCCAGAAAACCTTCCATGTAGGTGATTCTTCAATTGACTATTTGTGTAATCCAATCTTGTGCAAGGAGAAGCATATACAAATGTATAATGAACTTCCTATGGAGGTCATTATTGTAACATGATACGCAACTATACGCTACAATGCATCGAAGGCTTTCTGAAATATGATAGCACTGTTATGTCGGAGTTAATTTTCAGAAAACAAAATGATTAAATCTTGAACACACCTTGCATTATAATTGGTTTCCGCTTTACACCACAAGAGGTCTGTACCCTCTCAATTCCTATAATGAGTTCTAGCACATGCATACAGGCCATCTTCAAATATACATGGTACTGTATATTCGATCCAAGTGGAATTAAAGACATTCAGCAAGACAAGCGTACAGGAAGCAGAATACATTACCCCATTATAATAGATAGCAAAGTGGTTGCTTTTCAATTAAGCCCTCACTGACAACAGAAGAAAGCATAGCTGGACAATAGAAGCAAACAAACAAAAAACAACATTATTCTTGTTCAGTACGGACAATAAAGGGGAGGAAAAAAGTGTGGTTATTAGAGCTTCACTGCCTGCCCACACATTTGGTGAAGCCAGCAGCCAGTTAGAAACACATTAAATAGCAAAATAGCAGTTTAAAAAGAACAGGGAGAAGAAAAGGGGACCACTGAGATAGAAGAGATGCTTTGTACATAGTAAATGATTACGACTGAGAAGAGCCTCCTCTACATTCCACCATCTGAGCAGCTGGACCTAATCATATTTAGCATAACATCTGGGCCATTCCGACAAATACATGATACATTATCATGCTCCCTACTAAAGCCGTATGATAAGTTACACTGTGCTAAATCTGTGCTGCTGCTGCGCTCTATGATAGATATGGAGAGTACCTCTTCTAAAATTAGTCAGTTTATATCAGGATATAGAAGAAAACAAACTGCTCCTGTATATGCTATAACGTAAATGGCATAGTAATATTGCAGATACTTTTGGTACTTCAACAACAGAGCAGAGAAAAAGAAATACTAGACTGAAATAAGCATGGTAACCTGACATAGTGCATTTGCTGGAAATAAGACTGACTATGCTTGTACATGTACTACTAATACTTTTATTACTGCCACTACTGAAACTGCAACTACTAATATATCAGTCTTTTAGGGCTGAATTCATAAGGAGAAATAAAATGAAATGTACCTTTCTCTATCACCGTTAGGGTGATGTTTTTCAGATTTAAGGCAGTGGGAGTGAAGTAATCAAACTGAAACTCCCGGTACACTCTGCACTGGTAAAATCCACTGTCAGTAAATGAGACATTTTGGATCCGAATGGACAAATCTTGCAAGTCTTGACTCCCATTCCACACCAGGCGCCCTTTAAAGGGACTGTCCAGGTAATGTGGGGTCTCATCTTGATACTTGAAAATCTAAGAAAGATATAAAATAAATACTTTAATAGTAATCAATAATTAAAGTGTTTTGTTGTTAACAGTCACCTACATGAATTCGGCTCCAGGTGTCATTGGGCATGTAATACCAGTCCACGTGGGTTTTGGCTTTGACCTCTTCTCTCTTCATACAGTCAATGCAGGTCAGTCTCATGGACTGGCCCAGGACTGCCTCTGTATCTGATGGGACATCTACACACACTTGGTGGCTCAAACACACTGCAGGTGAAAACAGGTGAAGGTTAAGACTTGTGCTTTATGCAACTGTTAAAAAAAAAAAAAAAAAAGAACTCGAGAGAAAGACACTGCTACAGAGAATCATTATTATCCAAGTCTACACTGCATTGTTAGATGTTACAGCCTACAGATGCGCAATGGATTCACTAAAAGCCTCATCCAGATTTCTATTGATGCCCACTAGTCCATTAGACAGCAAGAGCATTAAGTGCTTGTGGGACAGAAGTAGTAGGATGTGGGAGGCAGACAGCAAAACATTGTGTGAAGCCAGAAAGAGCACATAAAAATATTGATGTGCTTTTCAGAATATACAAGGGAGGGGAGTTGTTGATGTCTTTGCATGTGACGGCTGCACTCTTATGTAACCCACAGGCCCTTGGGCAGTTACAGTGGCACTGACTTCAGCTCATGCTTTTTTCACTGACACATGGAAAAAAGAGTGAGAGAGTGTAGAGGATGGGAAGATAGGAAAATAACGTTATTACATTACATTATTGTTATGAGGTGATCTGTACCTACAACGCAGAACGCCACAATCTCCTAAAATAAGCTTTATCGTATATAGGCAAACATTGTACTTACCAAAATAAAGCATAAATGTGATAGTGAGCAGATGGGTGAGCATATTCAGCCCTTTATGGAGCTGTTGGAATTTGCTCTTAGCTGCTTTAAGGCTACTTTGTCCAGTTGTCTCTTTTAACTCAAATCCAGGTGGGGGATTCGGAAAGTATTTCAGCACCACGGATAGCGCCGCTCTTCGGCGGACACGTGCGCAGCTAACTTTACAAAAAGGATTGTAGCAAAAAAAAAAAAAAAAAAAAAAAAAAAAAAAAAAAATCTCGGCTTGTTATTAGAAACTCTCCACGACCACCAACAACTTTATGATGTAATCTGCGCATCCCAGACTTCCGGAAAGCCTCCTGTCGCCATTCTGGAACAATCTACTAAAATAATATTACCTCATACGGAGAGAAAATGGCTAACAATTCGTAAATCAGTCTAGCGATTTTTCTATTGTAGCACTCCTTTGACTCAAACTCCGTAGTTAAACCGACACATCCACTTGAGTACACAAAAAGCAAAAAAAAGCGAAGGACCTGTGGATTCACAAAAGCCAACTGAAACTGCAGCCAAATCTCAAGTGTTGTCCACTCACGAAGAGCGTGCAGCTTCCTCTCGCTCCTCAGAAAATACGACTATCGATTGTCAGGCGTCTGTTTCTCTCCATTAACAATGACTGATGACATTTCCCGGCCGCGCTTCACTGCCTTTGTTTTTCAGCTTACACTTAGCCCTGGCAAAAATAAACGAGGCTTTGGTACGCATGCGTGAGTCACTCCCTTCCACACGAGTGCCTGACGAGTCACACGTGGATGAGTGGGTCTAACAAACTTGTTCGGAAAACCAATGCTATAGTGGCTGTCTATTTAGGCTACAATTTTCTATGGTCTACTTAAATTCATACTGGTTACCTCAATGTAAAAGAAATAAAGATGTCAATAAGCCTCCTCCAATATCTTTGTATTACTGTTAATTTCTGTTTAACATGCTTAATAACGTATACAGAAAATTAAATCATACTTAAACTCACATATTAGGATGCACACTGTTTCATTGTCCCTGTTCAACTGTTGGTCTATTTTAAGAATTGGAATGGCATAGAAATCTGTCAAGATATAGGGTATATGCTGGTCTGAAAATCTTAAGGGTGTCTGTGAGGAATAGAGAGTGAGAGATGTATGCGCCTTTGGACCTTTCGGAGCATCTAATGTAGGGATTTATGAGAGAGACATCTTTAAATTGGCCTTAAGAGCAAAAGACGCTGCTAACTCTTTGCTTTGCTCTCAGCATCAACAGAAGTCCACTGTCAGAAGCAGACTAAATATGGCAGGTCTGGTCAAACCACTTCCTGCAGATAAGGAAACCATAGCAACAGTAATGCACTGCCATGGTGACTGGAAGGCCTGCTCAGTGACAGTCCGCTCTGTGCAAGACAAAGGGATGCTGCAGCCCTGCTCCCTGTGTGAGGTGCAAAGAGTAGACCAGAGAGGAACATCTGTGTTTTTAAATAAAAGTCTGAATAAACAGCGATGAAATGTCTAAGGGCTCTCTTTTCATAAAACTAGCACATTAGCTTTAAACAACGAAAGAATACACCTGATAAACTATTAAACATGTAGTACTTGTGTTTGTATGTATGTTCTAGGCTCTTGGGGTTATACTGTGTAGAGCAGATTTCAAAGGATTTGGAAGGATTTCAAGATTACATCATGATTACTGCTGACTGGATGCAATGGATAAAAATGAGATACCAATCTCACAGGCAGCTTGCTTTGAAAACCTCTTTACATTAGAACTACGTAAACAGCATATATATTACACTAAGCATGGGAAGTACTGCTGCACTCTACACTGTTAACATGTGGTAGTGAATGAGAAGAGAATGAAACAAATGGCTAGTCCCTAATGAATGCAAAATCTTCCCATGATCTGTAAAACTCTTTTTTTTTTATCCACTCTGATGAGTTATGTGTTTTTTGCAGTTACAAAACTAAAAGCACAGGCTTCTGAATATGGTGGCATGAGGCCCACACTGAGAGAGACACTTGCCAGATCAGTGTTGGAGAGCAGCTAATCTAATTGATAAGGCACATAATCTCCGGAGCCACTGAACCTCACCTCACTCTTTACGAATATACCATGCAAACACACAGGCCATAGCAGATGCAGCTCCGGGACCTGGCACAGAACTGGGAGCTAACACTGATAGTAAGTGAAGACTTGTTCCATCTGACCTTCTGAATTGGCTCAGAGCCACCTGTAGGAATACTCACTTTCTATTCTGAGACACAGATGCCAATGTACCACATCAACCATCAGAGCAAATGAAAACAAGAAAACCTTAAAACTACCTTTATTTATTTCTAAACTGGTCTTTTTAGATCTGAATATTGTATTAATACAACACAGCACAGCACAGGTCAACAATAATTATATCACAATGATTACAGAGGCAACTGAATTATTCATGAAGACAAGCAAGTCATCTGCGAGATGACATTGTGTTCATTCAGACTCAGCACTCATTGCGACCAGCAAGAACAAAAGAACAAAGCACAAAATGCTGGAAAAAGATTAATCTGATTTAAGTTAAAATAATTTCTAGACTGGGAGCCAAAAGTAAGAGTCACAATATTACATTATTATTAAGAATCATTATTATGAATAAGACTTTTACTGGGAAAGGTTGCTGCCATCTAAGAGCACTTAAGAGCTCCCATTCTCTCAATATTTTTTTTACAGTCACATGATTGAAGATAATGGGCCATGGTGTTTATGTAGCTTGGAGCTGACTCTGAGAATGTTGAGCCTCCAGTAATGTATGTGGGTATGAGGTCTGGTTATCCAGTTGCTGTTCGGTAATGTGACTCTCATATTTGAAGATACTATGATCTGTTCTTTCTGCAGCTTGTGCTGCTGGCTGCCAGTGATTGCGGCTGGCTTCAGTGCTGTCCTGCCTCTGGGCATGAGAGGCACTGTGAGGGCCTATGCCAGGAGAGAGCTGGCTCTGCCCCGGATGAGTGCTGCTGCTGTCTATTTGTATAAGGCTTCTCGTCCCAGCTTGTGAATCGCTGTCATGCTGCTGGCTGCGTCTGATGTGCTCTAATGTGATTTGGAGCTCATTGAGGCGCTGGGATACATAGCGTCTCTTCAGTTCCACCAGGATTGTTCCATTACGACTCAGGCTTGGGATAGATGATGGTGACGCACTCTGAAAGAGGTGATTGTGAATTGCATATGATCTCAGATAAACATTATTAATGAATAGGGCTACACGGCATACCAATACTGCTATAGCATATTGGGGTGGTACTTAAAATTTTTATCTGGTATCCGTTCCGTAATAATGTTTAATCTGATATCCTGGTTGGGCCTTAAACTGGGTCTATTTTCAGGCTAATTTTGGCCTACAACATGTCATAATGTTTGACCTTTTATTCATACAAAGCTCTTTCAACAGTTTGAAGGATAATGACCCTCATGTAATAAGTTAAGGAAATAAGTGCACTACACTGGTACATATATATTGATGTCATTCACATTTCTGTTACATTAAGGCTAAAGCTTGAAAAGACATGATACCACTTCAGAATAATTTAGAACCAATTATCCACACAGCCATTACCACATGTATTTAGTATCATTATGTGCAGATAATGTAACGGTTTGTGCATATGAGCTTGGTGCAGCATGTAGAAACATTATTTTACAATTACAGTAAGTCATTTAACTAGGCCTGTGGTCTTATGAAAAGAAAAAGATATTTTAGTGAGATAATTACCCTGGAGGGGCTTCCAATACTGCTATTCCCAGCATCTCTTCTAATTCGTGCTCCGTTTTGTAACTGCATGCTCAATTGTATGAAGGACTCATTCAGTCGGTCAATTTCTTCTTCTATACAGGACATCTAACACATGCAGAAAATCAAGGAATGACTATGTAAGCTTTGAGCACATTACTACTAGTTGTTATTGTAATCATTTTAACCTAATTAGTCACTCAATAGCATCTCTGTAATTAATTCATTTGAGCATATCCACATGAAACAAAAACTGGCACAGAAATCAATGCCATTTTACTAAAGATTTTTCCCCACAGTCCCCTCAGAAAGTGGTGTTATTATACAAGAACCAAAGATGTTATTGTTGTCAACTGAAAGGACAATAGGTGATATGGCATGTTTGTGGAGCCAGTCCCTTAGAAATAATGATAAGACTCAACATCTGTGGATCATAAGATGTATATTGCTTTCAAAAAAAGTGAATCTCACTCAAAGTCATACAGGCCCTACTCTCCAACTAGTATACAGTATACATAATGATATTCAAGAATGTAAATGCAACGTAATAACATATGTTAGATATGAAATACACAAAGCTGATCACTTGAACACGCATACCTGAACAGGACTCCCTTGTGCTGCTACGCATTTGACTGAAAGAAAATGGACACAAATGTGATGTGACAATTTGAAATTTCACATGAAAAGAAATCCTACTTCTAAGGTTGGCAAGAAATGAATAGACTTAAATGGTTTCTTCTAATGTTTTAGTTAGTGCAATTCCAAGTGAACTGTACTAATTTATTTAAATAATTCACTTCATTATGATTCAGTAGATACAGTTTGTAGCTTCAAGGTAAAGACTTGTCTCTGAAATTACAGCCGTACCTCGGTCCCAGTCTTCAGTTGAACTCTGCTTGAGCTTTGAGATGAGCTGTTCTACCTTCAAATATTTGTATTTCTCAAGTCTAAATTGAGGGACAGAGAGGATGTTATTGCACTGCATAATTTAGTTTGGAGTGGATACTTTGATGTAGCTTATTTACTTTTTCCCACCTGCTAGCTAATACATGCTCAGTGAAGTGTGTTTCGGCAGGAACCCTGATGTTGAGAAACTCAGAGACTAATGAGTTCTGTTGCTCCTCTGACATATCTAGTTTTGACTGAGAAAAACAGACATAAGAAACCTTGTGTAGCAATGCATACTAAGCAAGGGCTAGGTAGCAAGAACACACCCCAGCGTTCCACTGGAGAGAAAGCTTGAACAGTTGAAGGCTTAGAACTGAAATCGCTTCATGGAGAGCTTTCATAAACATCTGTGGTTTGGACCCTGTTCAAAGATATGTACTTATCAAATTGTTGAGCATGACTTAAAGGAAAGTAAAAAAAAAAAAAAATCAAAAGAGGCAAGATTACTGTAATATGCAGTTTACCTTGAAC